AGCCAGTTTTTTGAAAAAGCTCATGAAGAGGTTGTGTTGAAGACTCAAGAAGCTGCGAAAGAGAAGGAGTTTCAGAGTGTCCCTGCTGGACCAGCTGGAGCAGTTGAGGTAAATTCCAGCTTGCCTTTATTAGCCCAGATACTGAGAATGATCTTATATTTCAAAGAAGTTTGCAGCAATCTTTCATACAGTGGGTGGTATGTAGGCTGAAATCTTGTTCTTGGACCTCTATGCAGTTACTTCACAGGTGGTGTATTTGTGTATGTAGTGGTAGTTTCCCAGGGACAGATAGTATAAATAGCCTGTAGTTCAAAAAAATCTACACCCATTAGTGTTCTGTCATTTTAGCAAAATGAAAATGGGCAAAGTGTGTTCATTTACTAAATTTTTCCATAGAAAGAATAGAGCAAGTGAATTGGAAATGGTAAATTGTCATTCAAATAATGATTGGGTGTACTGCGTTTTTGATACTTTGACACAGAAATTTCTTTTTCAGTAGGAGGATAGGCATTAGGACAAAGAAATACCTCAAAGTAAGCACTAGATCTGTATTTTGATAGATGAATTGGTATAGTAATCAAATACAAATGTTGATAGAATTACAATTTAGTTTTACATGCTAAGCCTCTAAGTTATCAAGACATGAAAGCCTTTGTTTTAATTTTAAAAAGTAACTTCTAACTTCTGTGCTTTGTTCTCAAGAGTTGATTATTTTGCACAGAAGTACTAAAAATGTTAATACTTCATCTAAAAGTTCTGCGTTTTTGATTTGAGACTCCGGGTTAAGTGAAAGAGTGACGATAATGCCATAAATAAAACTAACGAACTCCCTGTACTGGATTGTTTTACATGACAGTAAAACAGCATTAGATTGTAACAAAGTGTTTTACAGAGACTTCCTAGCTGAAAGGGCAAAGCTTACCTTTCTCAAGTAAACAGTCTTCAAGGCCAGATGATGATCATTGCTCAGTCTGCAAACTCTACTCAAATAATTTTTAAATAAATTTTTCTAAAGTTATTTTTAAAGTGTGGAGGAAAGATCATGTTGTAGTGTTACTGTATTTATCTTAATTTAAAAGACCCTTTTTTGACTGTTACTAGATTCCTGAAGTTCATGTGTTGAGTAAATTGTTGCAATAACCCCACTTATGTCTGTTACTCCAATAACTTCTCAGAGCTGTGAAATTTGCCAAGAGCAATTTGAACAGTATTGGGATGAAGAGGAGGAAGAGTGGCACCTGAAGAATGCTATCAGAGTAGATGAAAAGGTAATCTGATCTTACTTACATGTGATACTTGCAGTAAAAAAAAAGAATTACAGAAAAAAAAGTGTGTGGGGAGGAGGACCAAGTGCTCTTTCTCTCCCAAAAGATTCCTGTGGTAGTTCTCCTGGCTTCAAGTACATAAATATCTCAACCTTTGGAAGTGCGTGAAGCGCTGGTATCGCTAGTATAGGGTCACTAGCCTTCCCTTACATTGCAGTGCTGAAAGAAAAATGAATGTCTCTGTATATGGGTGTAGATACCGGTTCAGTTATTTCTGTATGTAGCTGTACACAGATAATTCCCAACACTTACCAGGCTTCTGTATGATAACTTTTCTTAAATAAACATACGTCAGATCTTTTCTCAGTTGTATCTGACAACATACTTGGCCTGCTCACACCATTATTTTTCTAGACAAATGGTGTGATATGTGCCATTGACACTGTTCTGTTCATAACCGGTGATCCTGCTATAATTTATGTTCTTAAATGTGTTACAATTATTTTTCAGATTTACCATCCATCTTGCTATGAAGATTACCAAAATGTAAGTGAATCATTCTTACTTTGTTAAGCATTTTGCTTTCAGTTTGTTTGCTTGATCTCTGACTTTGCAGAGAGCAGATGTGTTCAGGATGTGCTACCTGTCTCTCTTGCCTGTGACTTAGACAATTAATTGAAGGCCTTGGGCATGGCAAGTTCATAATACAGAATTAGATAAGCTGTATTTCTTGTTATGATGTGCCATGACAGTTTGTGTGTCATACGTGACTGAAAGCAAAACCGTGGTTTGAAAACACATCATGCATTTATTGATGAGTAATGTGCGTAATTTTAGGAATTTGCAAAAATTAAGTAAATGGGTGTTGGGGAGTCTGTTATGTTTTTAAGGCTTTTGGAGTTACAGTTTCTCTGGGGATAGCAGGGAATAGTTTATGGTAATGTGGTTAAGCATTTCATCACTGCTTGGATGATACCTGTTCAAAGTAATTGTGAAGAAGTAATGCTATTAAAGAATAAATCTGTTTTCTTATGATCTTGATAAAGTAGAAGTTTGGATTTTGAGTGCCTGACTACCAATGTGTCTGCATTTTGAAAAACAGTAAAAGGGATCAGAAGTGTAAACCAGTTACTTTGTCTGTTAATACTACATTGACTTTCACTTTGCAGACATCATCATTTGATTGCACACCATCTCCCAGCAAGACTCCTGTAGAAAATCCACTAAATATAATGTTGAACATTGTTAAACAAGAAACACAAGAGTCCTGTGACTCACCTAAAGTCAAAGAAGAACCTGATGACACCCCTACTGCCTGTGCAGAAGAGAGCACACCTGCATCTACAGAAATTAAAACAGAACCTGATGAGTCTGTTTAAACAAACTGAGGTATGATTTTTTTTTTTACAGAAGAGCTGCTGTGTTAACTCTGGAAGGCAAATACTTTTTATATGAAATAAAAATGTTCAACTGAGGCAGGGCCTCAACTACTGTTTGGTTAATAAATACATTTTTGTATTTGAATTTCTTATTGCCTGCACAGTTTCAGGTGTCATTGTGTGAAAGTTCTGTAGATGCGTGAAAATTTAATGGAATGAAATGGTATATGTAAAAATGTACAATTTTCACTTGTGGAAATGTAAATTATAAATAAAAGATATTTTTGCTATATATGGAGTGTAATGTTTATGCACACCATCAAATGAAGACAGTGTTTCTGTACTTTTTTCAGTTTAAATAGAACTAAAAAGAACTTTTGCTCAATAAGATTCATAAAAACTGAAGCAAATAACTTCCTTCAGTTATCCCATAGATGGGTTATTAAGGGAAGCAGTGCAGAACTTCTCAGACAGACAACCCTAGATTTCTTTTATTTTCTTTTTAAACTTATTTGAACAAACTTACATATCCAGATACTTAAGGAAAAAAAAAAAAAAAAAAGGCAAAAAAAGGGGGGCAAAAAGACAGTTCTTGGGTAGAAGGGGAAAATTAAACAAACCAACCGGAGTACTTGATTGTGAACACAAGTGCCAACAACCAATTAACAAACCAGGATGCCTGGTAGTTAAGACATTTTTAATTTTTTTTTTTTTTCCATTAGTCAAACATGTAAGAATTTAATACAGCTGAACAAACTTTACGTTACAGGGGGAATGAATGTAAGAATGCTCATTTGAAACATGGTTAACATTTTTTTTTTTGTTGCTTATGACTGGACTTAGATGGTAAACCAGATATCCTGAGATGTTAATATTTCTTAAATGTAATAAATAAAATTAAGCATATATTTAAGTGTGAGCTTCTTCCTTTCGATAATGGGTTTGTGTGACTGGCATGTTTGTGGGATTTAAAATAATCATACAGTTGTGTTTTAGGACAATGTGCATTTAATGTTTTATTCACTGCCATGTGCATAGTGCGTATTTTAAAAGCTGCTGGCAGCAAGACATAAGCACTAAAAGAGCAATGTTGCAGTCCTAGTGCATTACTCTTGCAGTGAGGATACTTAGGAAATCAGAATTCACTTGTAGTGTATGATGTACGTAGAAATAATTAGCTGTGATGGTGGTTTTAGTGTTGGCTGCAACACTTCTTCCCATCTTCACAACCAGGCTTCAAGCAGTTTTTAATATGTGAATAATTCCTCGACTCTCAGTATTAAGGCTGTAACTGTAGTTGTGAGTGTGCCCTGTTCTAGATGTCACCCTTAAAAATACCTTTCAATTGGATAGAGTCCAGAGGAACAAAAATATGAGATTGATCATGGCTAAGTCAGTCCTTGAGGTGGTGTGTGTGGCTGCTGGCTGTGTGCTGTAGGGAGTTACTCCAGTGTTGTAACTTCTTCCTCAAACAGGGCTGTAGGTCTGGCCTGAGTAATACTTTATGTACTGAAATACTATAAACAAATTGGAATTCAGAGGAGATTGAGCCGTGTTAGGATGTCTTTCAATATGTAGAAGGCTGTTAGAAAAAGGGAAGAAATTTCCCTGTCTACTAGGGGTATAACAAAAAGATAACCTGTGATCTTTTTACAGCAAGGGGCTTTATGGCAACTTTCCTAATGACCAGGGTAGTTAAGCTCTAAATGGACCTTGTTTGGTCCATGTAATTATCAATGTACATCTGTAAATCCGATTGGAAGTGTTCATCCTGCCTGGAAGCAGGACTCAGGAAATGCTGTGTGTTTCTTTTTTTGGCCCATCAAAGAAACCCGGCTTCCCTCCATGGCACCAGCTGGTTTTGACTAAGAGTGAGGAGCAGGATGAGGTAACAGCAGGGAAAAAAACATCCCCCCTTGCACCCTCTGAACATCTTAGTGCAGAGAGAGGGTTAGATGTATAAAAATCGTGACTGGAGTCTGATTATCCCGCAGAGAGGGCGTAAACTGGTTAAATAACTCTCGGTCAACACGCCACTGATTTTTTCAGAGACGAGAACAGATACTTGTTACACTTCTCCCTGGGGAACGCCATGAAGACACTGGCCCAGGGCTGCCAAAAAGCACCACCCGGCAACTCCAGTTCGCTCCCTGCCGCCATCGTTCCCCTGCTTTCCTACCCTCATGCGCTACAGCCATCCGCGGGCAGCTCGCGGCGGGGAAGGCTGCCCCGCACCGCCGCGGGCGGCCGCCGCCCTCCCCTCGCCCCCCAGGCTCCTGCCCCGCACGCCATTTTCCGCCCGGTGGGCGCGGCGAGCTCGGGAGGGGCGGGGAAGCGCACACTGTGCCCATGGCAACCCCTCTGCGGCGTGGGGCACGGGGAGGAGGAGGAGGAGGAAGGTGCGGGAAGCGAGGCGGGCTGCCGGCCCCTTCTCCTGTGAGGGGCCGCCCTGCAGCCGCCTCCGCCGGCCGGTGAGACTGGTTCGCCCGCGCTCCTTCTTCCCCCGCCGCTGCCCTCAGGGCTTTCCTTCCCCCCAGCGCCGCCGAGGCGGCAGCGGGCGGTAGCTGCGCCCCCCGCAGCGCCGCGCCTCCCGCCCCGGGGCCGTGAGGGGGGGGAATCGCCGCGGGGCGGCGGTGCCATGGCGCGGAGCGGCACAGAGACCGCCCGCCGCACTCCAGCTTTCCTGATCGATTTTTTTACCCAAATCCTCGGTTCTGTGGCATGTGGCTCCGCCGGCACCCCTCACAGAACACTGAGGTTGCTCCGTATTCGCCACACGCGCGGGGAAAGGCGGCATAACGGCGGCGGTCACCCCCCGCCCGGGCCGGCCGTCACGGGGCCCAGTAGCGCGGCCTCCACCTTCAGCGAGCCATGGCTGGGGTAGGCAGCCTGTCCCCTGCAGCTGCTGCCAAGCATAGGATTGTTGGTGGTTTTTTTGTTTGTTTGTTTGTTTGTTTGTGGGTTTGGTTGGTTGGTTGGTTTTGTGTGTGTGTTACAGAAATACTGTAAAACCTAAAATTGTCTCTTCTCCCCTGCCCGCCCCATTCTGAGCCATATTCTTCTTTGCTTAATTTCATTAATGAATTGTGGGCAAGTACTCCTATCAAAATGAAGTCTTTCTACAAAGGAGTTTTCTCTTAGAATGTCCAGTGAGCATTTGACAGCAGTTTTGATAAAAAATTGCACAAAAATTATGGAACCCGTCCTTCACTTCCAAAATCAGGCTATTTTGTACAGAATTGATGTTAACAGCTGTTGACTGATTTTCCGTCCTAGGTCAGCTGCCTTTGGCTTATTCGTGATGGCCTGCGCCCAGAAACCGTGCAGCAGCACTTTGCATCAATCTCCATACAGTTGTAGGTCTCCAGAGGGAGAAGGGAGACAGAATCCATTCTGCTGGCTGGCCTTGTCGTTTGTTTTGCTTCTGGATTAAAAAAAAAAACAAAAAAAAACAAAAAAAACCATTACCTTGAACTGGCTACACTGGAACATTGTGTTAAACACATTAGTACTTTGGCAAGTACTGTAATTGGCCAGATTGTCCTCTGATGTAAATCTGTATAATTGCACTGAAGTCTCTAACCCTCACTTGGCATAATGAGAAATTACTCCCTTGTGGGAAAATTATGTCCTGGTGATATTGTTTCTTAAAAAAAACAACTCAAACCACAAAACATACTTAGATATTACTTGGAAACATGAACTAGATGACCTCCTGAAATCCCTTCCAACCTGAATTATTCTGTGTTTCTATGCTGCTGCTGTTTGTTCATACTATATTTTTCAGAATGGAGTCCTGGTTCCTAGCTGAAGCTGCATTGCGCAGGGCATCGATACAGCCTGCTGAGCTGGGGGAGGTGGAAGTGGCATGAGACACAGCCACAAGATCAAGTGCTGTGTTACAGCACAGGGTGTGTTACGGTCAGCCTGGATTATTGAAACAGCTTCAGCTCTTTTTTCCTCTCTGTGGCAACCCCAAATCTCCCTGAGCACTACTGTCATGCTACAGATTACATAAAAATAGGCACTGGTAAATTGGCTGTTTTTAATCGTATTGAGTGTTTTTTTTACATATATCACAAACATGTTCATGCAGTATCTCATTTATATTCTTTAATTTTTTTAATCTCAAATTGCATAACAATTTTAACTACTGCTACCGTTTCTTCTCCACAGGCAGAGAAGCTGGGGCACTAATACCTTAAGACCTACATTTTCATGCTTGCTTGACTTGCAAAACAGCAGCCCACCTCTTCAAGACTTCTAAGAGTGTGAAATCTTACAAAACGGTGTTAGTGCACTTTGGTACTGAAATGATGACTACTCTAGAAGGTGATTACTAATTGGTTTAGGTTTTTTTTATGCTTGGCTATCTGAAATTAGACCCCTCAGCCGTTAGATCTGCTTAAATATTTCTGTTTACAAGTTTTGGCAAAATACTGAGATGTTGCAAGGGGGTTTGGATATGTAGCTCCCATTGTTTCCAGTCATGTAGTTAATTTGTGAAAAGGCCTGAAGGAGAACACAGGTTATTTGATCCCATGGCTTGGTGATGGATTTAATTTTTTTTTTTTTTTTTGACCCCAGTGCTTCTACATTTAGAGTTTGATTCTGTGCCACTGAGGTCAGTGAAAATGTTACTGACTCTGATGGGAGCAAAATACCAGGCTACTAACAGTGAGCTGTGACAGAGAAGTGCCATAGTTCTGGCAAGAGAACAATACAGGGTGACTAACACACTGTATAAAGAACTGCTTTTGTACAGTAGCTTTAATCTTGATAGCAGCTTGTCCTGAAACCGATCTGTGTAGCTCAGTCAAGAGTAATTGCATGGTACACTCACCTGGTGAAGGCTCTGGTGCCCTCCAGCACAGTATGCCGTGCTATGCCCAGTCCTTAGGCAGCAGCAGAAGCAGCGTGGCCATGTGAAGCACCTGGGAAGTGGTGGCTGAGGGTTTGTTTGCCCAAGTGAGGAGCCTTCCTAGTGGTGTACTTGAAAATGTGATTAATGAAAGAGTTTGTGATGCCCGCGGTTTGGGAAGAGAGCCAGTGTTGGGGTGGACCTGCTCCAGCATTTGCATACATAGATGGAGTATCTGTGCTTCCTGTTCTTGCTGTGCGTCTTGCCATCTTTCTTCTGGGTCTTATTCTTTTGTGCCCTTTGCTGGGACTGGAGGGGGCATGACCGTCTCATGTTTTTGCATATTGCTCTATTTCTGACAAACATAAGAAGTTACTTTGAACATTTTGATTGGTTCCTGTGAAGCTGACACTGATATTTCTTTGATTCATCACTTATTTCCTATTTCTTAAATGTTGCTGAACTGACTAATGCTCTTCTATTATTCCTCAATAGCTGTCAAGAAGAAGCAAAATTATACTAGTGTCCATGAGGCAGTGAAAGCTGGTGATGTAGAACAGCTTGCATCAATAATAAAAAGTGGAGCTGGTATTAACGAGGTGGATTTAGTCCACAAATTCACACCATTGCACTCTGCTGCACACTCTGGAAGTCTCGAGGTAAAACTTTATGTTAGTGTTCAGACATGGCAAGGTTTTTGTAAGTTAATATTTTCCTTCTTTAGGAGAGGCTGGACACAAAATTTGATCGAGCTAAATCAATAATCTCTGCCTGTTTTTCTCATTACGTATTTTCACCAGTAGCAGAAGTACAGGATTTTAGATTTTCACTTTCCCTTTCTAAAGCCCCAGGCAATGGGTGTAGTCAACATTGCCAGATTACATTACCAAATCAGTTATTTTCTTACTCTGAAAAAATATGCCAGACTGATAACCTTCTTTTGTCCCTATTGTGTTTTTGCCTTCTTTTGGGACACCTAAGAAGTCCTGTAGGATGTGTAAAATGTTCTAAAGGTGATTGAAACAGGTGAGAAGTGACATGAAAACATATTACTTCTGTTTACCAGTGTCCTGTCCCATGCCTCATTCTCTATAGAAATAGTCTTACATTTTAATAAATAAAAAGATTGAATATTGATGGAGAAATCAGCAGGTGTTTGCATGAATGTTTTTAACTTCCAGAGGGACTGAACTGCTCTCTTCAGCACAACATTCACCTTCTTGTTGCAGCCTCCTTGTACAGTCTTTATAGCAATCTAACCTTGAAGCAACAAGGCCATGAATAACCATCTACAAATTCATGTCCCAAAGGAAAGAATGTAAAGTTCTTGCTAAACTCACAAAATAAGAAGTGCAGTGCTGTTTCTGGAATGTACAGAAACTTTCAAGAAAATGGTGATCATCATGTTGTCAACCCTAAAAATAGATTGCTTACCCACCCTTTTCTGCCCATATAAATTCTGCCATTTTTCATTTGACTCTCCTACTTTGCAATCACTGTATTAGACTTTATTGAATTATCTGTCATCTGTTTGTCCCTAAGTTCCTTGGTGGAAAAGGTGGAGGAACCAGAGCTGTAGGCTGGCCTGAAAGAAGATAATAAATCATAATAATATATCGTCAAAAGTTTTAACTGGTCATTTAGCTGTTTTTCGGTAGTCCATAAAGCTTTCTGTTACAAGCAATAATATCTACTGGAAAAAGGTGAATAAAACAAAGCTAGGCTGTGGAAGGACAAGAAGAGAGATGGGATTTTGCACACCTTAGAAGCCTATGAAGTTAAATAAGGCTTTAAATTTGGTTCATGGTATTTTTCCTGCCATTAATTTTAGCTGGAATTCAAGTGAGTGTGTTTGCATTTTTTTTTCCAATGCTTTTACCTTGTGCCATGTGAATGCTCTCGCAGATTACATTTTAAAACCATAAGAGTAAAATTAAGAAGCCATACTGTAAAATCAATGCTAGGGTCTGAATTAGTAGGTTATTTGCACTTTTTCTACCCTTGGGTGAAACCTGGAATGTATAACTTACCTGTAACTTCTTAATGCACTAAGGCATGCTCTGGGGTGTCATATTTCCCTAATGAAGTATTCCAATACTGTTTTGAAATGTAACAGTGACTGATAAATTATAGCTAAAATGTGCCTCAGATACTCGATAAGAATAGTTACATAGAAAACTTTGGTTTTGGTTGAGCAGTGCCTTCACTGGTTGCTCTGGCACGGAGCTGATGTAACGCACGTAACTGTTGGAGGCTGGACAGCAGCTCACCTTGCAGCTATCCGAGGTCAGGATGCTTGCATGCAGGTATGTATAAATATTCACTCTCAAGAGAAAGTGAGTAGGGCAGACCTTCCATTTGAACAAATTCATTATGAAGGTCAGCTGGGAGAGCTCCCGATGGAGCTGTGAGTATCTCATCTTGATGTCTTTACATCCAGAATCAAGTCGCTCTTGTTAAAACCAGCGCGCTCATTTGCACTATCTGTGCAAACAGGTTTATTTTGTGTAGTGCAGGCCTTGAGGTGGTCAGCCTAGAGTTATCCCACTGATTATCTCAAGTCATCCTGCTAGGCAATGTTTGCCTTTTCAGCTTGTGGACTGAAGTTCTGCTTTGCATTCCTTTTAGGCTTTGTTAATAAATGGAGCAAACGCAGAAGCTCAAGACGATCGTGGGTGCACACCGTCACACTTAGCTGCAGCCCATGGGCAGTCGTACACCTTGCAAACCATACTGCGGAGCGGAGTGGTGAGAGACTCTTACCTGCAGTTCCCCAGCACAGAGCTGAAGTCTGGTGTCTTTTTCCAAAGAAAACTCTCCCCAGCTAGAGATTTAGGACTGTAGATTAATTACTGTTGGTGAATTTAATTTTAGGGTAAATTACCATTTTTTTGTTGTAAGATACAATGGGGAAATGACCCAAAAATCTGGAGAGAATCAATAATGTGAGGAAACCACATTTCACTGAGGATGTCATTAAATGAAGATCAGGTGCAGTGGTGGTTGTGATTTTTTGCAATTGTACAAGTCTTCTATAGTAAAAGAGACATAAACCTAAAAAAAATAATTAATCCAGATAAATATTTAAGGAATAATGACCAATGCAGGGACAGAAGTATGTCTAAAGATGCTTTTATGTGTGTATTATTTAAATAAAACCAAGAACCCGTGAAAAGTACCTATCTTGGAGTGGGAACTGCATACACAGCATGAACTTTGAAAAATGTTACTTGATTTGATTTGAATAATTTAACACAATGAACAGCTGATTCCTATTTATAAAATTTGTCTTGTGTCTAAGATTGATAAATGAACAAATTAACCTGCTGCTTTCATTTTAGAATGTAAATGTTTCAGACAGGAATGACTGGAAGCCTGTTCATTATGCTGCTTTTCATGGTCGCCTGGGGTGTTTGCAGCTTCTTGTTAGATGGGGAGCGTGTATAGATGATGTGGATAACAATGGAAACCTTCCAGGTATACCAGGATAAATCATATGGGTTTTAATCCTTGGTTTACAGTTGTGTTATGTGATAATTGTAGCAAATTACAAGTAATACATACCAGCAGTGTTTGCTATTTGATTCCATGCAATCAACATAGTTTCTCCATTTTCATGATGACAGGGGGATTTATAGAATCCAAAGTATTTATCTGTCGGTGGCAGTATCCTGTTCACCTCGTGCTGCTGCTGGCAAGGATCAGAGCTCACGGGGGCTGGAACAGGGAGCCGGCTGAGCCCGGCTGAGCGCGCTGTGCAGGTGGGCAGCATCTCCTGTGCGTGAGATGGAGCGCATGTGCCAATGAAGGTCATAGGAGGAGAAGGCTCGGTGGAGCAGGAGGCACTTTCAGCTGCTATATGCTCCTTTTTGAATTTGTGCCAGGCTTTAGTGGCTGTGCCAGTGTGATCAGATTCTGTCATGTCCATATGCAGGTTTTTGTATCCCATGTTTCTTAACTGATCTGGTAAAACCTTTGTTCTCATTTACCTGTGATTTCTTCATCCTGATTTCTGGAAGACCAGTATTTCTGTATTTGTAATCTGTACTTTTTTCATAATCACAAGTGTAGTTGCTTTAGCACAAAAAATGAGCAGTGTTTATTCCTTGGTCTTCATAGTTTCTCCAATGTCCCCCTGCCTACCATGCCACTGCCTCAATACCCTCCGTAAGTTGAATGATATTGTTCATATCCTGGGTTCTCACTGCATCCTTCCCCTTTTAGCATTTTCCTTCGTATGGTTTGTCACATGATTTTTTTTTTTCTCTGTAACTTTCATAGATTTATCTTTTTAAATCCATTCTTAAAATCTTTTAACCTCTGTTAAGCACCACTTACCTAGTAAACTGATTGTGTTCTGTTTTTCAAACCTGGGTCTTGTTAAAGAATGAGAGGCTTTTGCACCCCAGCAGGACATCTGGTGTATTAGCAATAAGGGGTCATGGTGTTAGGCACCCTGGTGGCAGCGTAGAAGGTAGCTTTATTTGCATTTGGGAACACTTCCCTGATAACAGACTTGTATGGAGGGATAGCAAATGCCAGCACAGTTCTACTTAAGTGCTCTGTATACTGCTTAGTAGAAAAGACGTCTATAGAATCTTGATCCTCCGGCCTTTGTTCTGTTTCATTTGATCATATTATCATCCAAATGAAAGAAAATGCTTTGGAACATTGCTAGCAAAAGATTAATAGAAGTAGTGTGCTATATGGAACAGCTTTACCTCAGCTTGTGAAACAGCAAAGTGAACTTAGATCATCTTTACATACTTCAGCTTCAAGATTAGCCTGGGCAGTGCTGTAATTTTTCTTAAGAGTATACTGAAAGAAATTTACTGAGGTTGCAATACCATACACCTAAAACTTAAAAATTGTCTGCACCTTTTGCATGTGTGTGTTATAGCAGGGGCTTTAATTAGCTTTAGCATGCTGATTTTTTCAGAGAACTGTGGCTCATTCAGTGTACAGAATGGGCTGTGCTTATTAATTCAAGATTTTGTTTTTTCTTTGTATTAGGTTTTGGGCCATATCCATGCTTCTTTTATTGCTCACTAGTTAAATCTGTTCTAAATATGATATTAATTTAATCGTAGCTCAACATCTCAATTTTTCACATATACTGTTTTTTTCACTTGCAACTTTGAGAAGAGTGACTAGTGTTAGCCTGATTTTATAAAAGGTGAGATGAAACACAGAGAAGTTGGGGTACCAATGCCAACTACCCACTGCCTATTCGTGATGCCTCAGACAAGGTTTTTCAAAGTTCTCAGCACTAAGCTGCGTATAACACATAGCTGTGTTAACATCACAGTACCCTTTGGCTTTAGTCTCAACTGCAAGTGCTCAGTGTGCCTGAGGATGGAACGGCACAGTTACATGTTGGGCACTAGCTACTAAGAAACACAGGTTAAAAGCCAGCTATGAAAAGCTCCCATATGTGTCTTCCACAGCATCCCACTGAAACTGTGGAAAAATACATGAACAGAATACAACTCTTCAATCTATTTTCCCCTTGCCATCTTTGCAGAAAATGTTGAGCTTTTCTGACTGCTTTTTGCATAGAACAGACATCTGATTTAAAAAAAAAAAAAAGTTTCATCCTAAAAGGTGAAGTTTTATCCCTGAGATTTTAGGTATCTGAAAGTGGATTCACAAGAGTTGAGTCAGTTTTTCACCAGCTGACTAGTAATCAGTACTTGCCTTTAACAAGATACCTCTTCACTTCTTCCTAACTGACTCACCAAATAAAATTAAGACAATGGGAGAAGCTGCGCTGACTTCAGTGAAGCTCGGATTTTGTTGCATTAAACTTTCGCAATCATCTGTACCTAAGTGTTGTAATCCTGCTGTAAAACCAATGTCCATCACCTTTTAGAGCAACTACACTTGGAAAGCTGTGGATGGTTTGCAATAGAGACCTTGCATGTGCCAAAACTTAAGTGACATGGGGTTTTTTTTTGGTCCTGGGTACATTGTCTATTCATTATGAAGATAATGAGATTCTTATATGGAGACAAACTAATCGTTTTGCCACTAGAACATCAGCCAGGTTTTATAGACCTTTTTCATGGAGCGTTAACACATAATAAATATTTATTTGGCACCTTTTTCCCATTAATTGGATTAGAGAATACTACTCATTTCAAAATAATGAGCTTGTGTTTTGTACTTACTTTGTTATGGGCCCAGCACTCTAGTAGTAATAAGTAACTAAACCTCAGCATAGCATAAAGGGCAGGGGAGGAAATGATTGACCCCTACAGGGGAGCTGTCATTGCCATGGTGAGATGGAGCAGCTCCTGCACACAGCAACTGTCTACAACAGTTGAAGAAATAAAATATATAATAGAATGGTATAAATAGAAGCCTCTGTTATGGGATATACCTTCAGATACTTCACCCAGTAAAGTGAATGTCACTGTCCTCATTTTATAGGTGGGGTAACTAAGGGTGTGATGCAACTTGGTTGTGGTGGCACAGTAGAGGTGGGACTAAAGCAGAAATGGCTTTAACTCCAGATCAAGGACACCACTTGCTGGCCTTCTGTAATGGGTATCCCTAGCACAGCAAAGTCAGACAGCTGCTGAAGAGCGAGGTTCATGTTCATGGGGGAGACCCCAGCCATGCACTCTCCTACTTAGTGCTCAGTGGTCTCTTAGCAGTGTTTTGTTGTCTTCTGCAGTCAACTCTGCCAGGGAATCTTTGTAAATCCTATCCTTGACAGCTTTCTTTTACCTCCTTTGCATAGAGCTGAACTCTGTCCTGGACAGGAGCTGAACATTCCCTATTCAACTGAGGCTGCTCCTACTTGTTACTCAGTGTTGTGTGGCTGAAGTGCTGGTACATGAGCTATATGTAACCAGTGGTGAGAGCACTGCTTTCTTGGTGGGCAGCGGTGCTCTACTCTAACATATTTTGTTTCACCTTGTGCTATAGCTCATCTGGCAGCAGTGGAAGGACACTTGCATTGCTTTAAGTTCTTGGTCAGTAAAATGGCCAGTGTCATGCACACACTGAAAGCCAGGAATGACCAAGGAGAGACTCCAAGGGACTTGGCTGAACGGTTCTATAAAGATAATATTCTGCAGTATATTGATGATGTGGAAAAAGAGGGGGAGCATCTGGAGACACAGGAAGGTGAGTATGGATCAAGATACTCTTAAAATAGGCATTGTAATTCTGTAGAAATGCTTGATTCTGAAAACTTGTATGAGCAGAAGTATGACATTTAAATTACTGATATGAGGAAGAGCAGTTCTTTTCAATGCTTACTACACTTACTGATAGCTAAAGACTGGGATACTCACTGTGATTTTATAAATATCTTAGTTTTGCCCATCTTCAAATTAAAACTTGTCACTGTGTTGCACTAGGAATGCCAAGTTATCCATGTTCTTAGACTCAGCAGAGATTCAGACAAACTATGATTTTAATGAGTTTGCAGATTTGCCTGCTCAGAATCCCTTACTTGTGTTGAATAGCAACTCAGCTTGGAAATGTCCCACTGAAATTAAGGTTATTTGATAACCAGCAGTACTACTGCAGTCAGAACAGCCGAAGGATGCAAGTGTGGCAAGGTCTGTAAGGAGAACCTTCAACAGAACAAGAGTATGAGAAGTGCATCTTCACCTCTCTGCTTTTTCCAGGCACTTAACTGTCTTTATCTGCTAGTCTTTTTTCATCATACATGCAGGTATATATGTCGATACTCCCTGTCTATAAAAAATAACTAGAAAAATCAAATTGTATGGGTGGTTTTTAAGCAAGGAGAAGTAAAATAGTTTATATATTTGGTTAGACTATGAAATTTAGAACAGGCAAATTACTTCAATTACCACCAGTAATACAGCATCAACTGTAATACAAAGGTATACTTGTTATTTCAGGTTTATGAAATTAATCTCTAAGCTGTATAAGATGCCTGCAGCCATAACCAAGACATGTTTAGTCAAGTGTATGATGAACACTGCTAGTTATGCAGGTACATTTTAATTAATTAAGACTGCATTATCTTGCTAACTACAGCTAAGAAGTGTCCATAAGTTGCCATGAGAGAGGCAAGCCGTGAGACAAATACGAGCATGTTTAGTGGAGTTACTGGCATCTGTTTGGAAACCTGAGTATTTCATTTTCAGTTTTAGCTTTCCCAGCTCATGGCGCTGCTTTCAAAGGGGACTTGTTAGTGCTTAGAAGATTAGTGAGCAGTGGAGTAATCAACGTTAATGAGCGGGATGATAAGGGATCCACTCTTATGCACAAAGGTCAGTAATTATGAACTGTGTTTCAGCTTGTTACTGTTTGTTGCTGACTTGTTTACCTAGTTTTTCAAGTGGCCGCTTATCAGATAAATGTCATGAAAAACAGCATCTCGTTTCCTGAGGGCTCGAAAGGGCAACCCTGAAAAACCTATGTTGTCATGTACGTGTGTGTAGATGTTACATTAAAAACAAAATAACCAAGCTGAAGTCAAGGAAGAAGAGTTTATATTAAAGAGAAAACAACATCTAAACTGAAAACTAGGTTTTTTATCAGGTGAAGTGTGACTTTTAGAAACACTAGCTAGCTAGGTATAAGGATGATCTGTACCGTGGCCTGGGCCTTTATTTACTGAACCTATCAGTACTGTGGAGATATGTTGTAAAAACCACAACAAAGTCATTTGGTAGAATGCTGTGAAGGAAGGTAAACTTCTGGTATGTAACACCTTGATATGTAGTGGAATGCTAGCATTACAAAAAAATGGTCCTGTGTTTGGGGCTTTCATAGTAATGTCTGAAAGAAGAAGTACAAGAGGAAAGAAAGAGGGAGGTATTTTTGTAATACATTTTTAATACTTTCCTACATTTCTTTTTGACTAGATACAAATGGTAGAGTTTTTAAAAACATAATTGAAGTTCTCATTAAAAAAATTGATATGTAGTGATTTAAAAAATGTTTTCTACATTCTTTCCCACTCTCTTTTCTTGGGATAGTGCTAACCCCAATCTGTATATGCAGTGTTGGTGTTATGGAGAAATACTACAGCTGATACTGTAATTTAATTTCCTTATCTCAGTAAGAAAACAAATATGGCAAACATCCAAAGGGGCTGCTGTCAAGATACTGATTTATTCTTCCTTGAGAAAAACAGCTTACAGGTTTCAGCTAGGGATGCCAAATACTGTCTTCCATATGTGAGACATCATTCCTGGCACCGTGCAGTATGAGCAGTAGCAATGCCAGATCCTATGACTAGGCAAAACTGTTGTGTTTGGCTGCAGCTGAGAAGTGTTGTCTTGAGGGTCTGTCCCAAGAAATGATGTACCGATAGCCCCAGCACAAAGCCCTGGCTTCTCTCCGTGAGACAGCACCGTACACTGCAGACTGGGACAACCAGCTGTGTCTGACATATGGGAGCACAAAGCCAGAGGTGACAGTGCTTTGCTGCAGATCTGTGGTGCATAGGCCTTATTGCAAGACAGTGTGGGGCAGCAGTTATTTGTGTGTCTCATGCTCAGCACATGACACTGGGCAATTTTAGGTTACATTGTGTCCCAGAAGAGTTGCTGTAAACTTCTGAAACTAGAAAGAGTCACAAAACCCCATCACATGATCTTCCCCAAAACTGTGTGTACCCATGTGACTTGAGCGTCTCGATACATAGGCTTCTCTTGAAATAGTGTCTCCCCTGTGGCATCTTAGTCAACCCAACCTCTGGCATGTCAAAGCATGACAAAGGGAACACATTTTAGGTTTGCAACACCAGTTGTATATAACTGACTTGTGTGCACCTTCCTTCCTTCCTTTAGCGGCTGCACAGGGACATATCCATTGCTTACAGTGGTTGGTGGACATGGGAGCTGACTGTGACATTACAAATGATGATGGAGAGACTCCAAAGGATGTAGCCAAGAGGTAGCAGTACATATTCTGTAGCCCTGTCATTTATTTACTTACTACTTACATATCAATATCATGTCAACTTTGTTGAAATTATTCCTGATTTTCAGTGACGGAGCAAGAATTCCAGCCATGAATTCCAGCTCTGAGTGATAAGCAAAACTGTATTGTAGCTATAAAAGGTTTTAATTTAATTTAATGTGTTTTTTTTTTTGTTTGTTTGTTTGTTTTTAGCAAGATTAGACTTAAAAGATGAAAACTAGCTGATCAGCAAAAGGAAAGTTGTGAACCAGTATGCTCACAGTTTTCTGTACAAAGTAAATGAGAAGTAGTGAAGGTCAGATGATTTTTGCATTAATAAAAATAACGCAGTTTCTGATGAGATTCAATTAAGAAATTCTGCAAAGGAAAAGATACTTCTGATGTAGGAGTCATTGACATAAGATTCTAATGAGGTAGAGCCCATGCCATCAGAATATTATAAAAAGCAGATTAGCTGCTTGTAGTTTGTGTACCAGTGCTTCCTTTAATCCTGAAAACCCCTCCAATAAATGGGAACATGAAGAGTTTCAGAGAGTTTCCATCAATCAACCACATGCATTTTTCCAGAAGATGGGGCTATTTCAGTGTAGGTTAACTGTTCTCTGTGCAGATTTGCCCAGCTGGCAGCTGTGGAACTTTTGACACAAAGAACTGGAGACAGTAACTCTAGTGATGAAGAACTAGATGCAAACAACATAAAGTTTTTTGAAAGACATGGTGTGGAAGGGAGCACAGATAGCAAAGAAGATTTAACCCTGGATAAAGCAGAGAAAAGGAACGCACGCAGTAAGCAATCTTTCCATCACTCCTTATTTGAAAAAGTTGGTGTCAAGATATTATAGTCCTAGTTGCACAGTTTCTGCCAACTGCTGTGACTTTTTTGCTGTAAGATGAGCTCGTTAACAGGATATCTGTACTACTTCGCACTCAAACCAGTTGTGGAAAATTAGCATAGCAGAGGGCAATCAGAATGTAATTATTACACTGTTTTAATCCATTTTGGTGAAACCGTATTGGGTTGCTACTTGTTTTTGAAATCAGTTTGCTGTGTGGGTGTCAGGTGTAACTCAGTACTTGCTGAGCAGTGTTATTTCTGGTCTGTGTTTGTGAGGTTGTTTTCCAGACTATTGGATTCCAGCATGACTGTCTTCATGCATTTTACCTGCCCAGAGAACTCTGTCTTACAGTAAGGGCCTATCGCAAGATTCAAGAACTTCAGCAACTTCTAGAAATTGCCTACAGTAACTACAGACAGCTGGGAGGAATAACTGAAGAGGAGAAGAAGATGAAAAAAGAAGAAAGGGAAGCTGAGAAGTAAGGTTAATTTGCCTTGCTAATGTTTAACACTGTGAGGCCCAATTTAAAGCCTTCTTTAAGGCTAACTTACACTGAAATTGCTTCGGCCATTCTGTCTTTTCCACTTCCCAACTTTAGTCAGGCCAAAAAGAAATGGACTTTGGCAATTTGTCTGACCATTTCTAAACTTCTGCTGCCAGGACCAGCCCCACAGCACCACGCAGGTGTTTGATGGGCCCACACTTTTTGTGCAAGATCATCTGTTTGGCCTTCAGGTTTTCCTGCAGCATATGTGCAGTAGGTCTGGTAAGTCCTGGGTGTTTTGTTTTCATCGAGAGTGCCAAACACATGTATGCACGTTAATAAATCTGAAAAAAGGCCTGGCTTGGGTGAAAGTGCATATACAGCAGAAATTATTCAATGACCTGCTACATTTCTGTGTCAAGGGCAATATATTTCTATGTTCAAGAAAGCATTAGCTCATACCCAGACCACAGAAAACAGAAATCTCAGCAGACCTTCCCTTGCATGTGAAGCACTTTTCATGACGTCTGTCTAATTCTGAGGGTCTCCATTAAATGAAAGGGTTCTGTTAGATTAGTCAGGTGACTTGATGGGCAGACCGTCTGAGTTTCAAAGAAAAGCCCTTCTGTCTATCAAAGATTTAGAGTTTAAACAATGATGAAGCATCCAAAAGACCGCTCTGTCTCTACTGCAACCTGTTAAAGATTTGGCTACCCACTGTTCTCAGTCTCTCTAGATAACCACATCCATTGTGTGTTTGGGCCACCCCAAGCCACTGGCTTTATGTGGTCACTGAGAGGAGGCTGTATCTAGAGAGCTTGTATGCTATCAGGGGAACAGCAGACTTCCAGAACAGAACAGATCAGGAGCAGGTAATAGGTGTCACAGATTGGAATTTAGTATATGAGCCAAGAAACTGAGGTCAGGATTTCTTTTGGTTCCAGATCACCCTTTGACTCAGCCCAGGCTGAAAGTCCATCTTCCTTAACTTGATATGTCTGCAGCGTAGATATCTGCATCCGAGTTAGTTATCTGGAGCACCTTTTTGGACTTCCTGGAGAGACTGTATGCTTTCAGGGCATAACTGGACATGTATTTCAGGATAAGATTCATCGGTTCCAGGAGTGTCTGTCCTGGCTTTAAAGAAGGAGGGTAACCATCTCAAATGTTGATGCTTACGTTGGAAGGTCAGAGCAATCTATCTGCAATGATGAAAAGGTCACTGTTGACTAATGGCAGAAATTAGAGTTCATTTTGGATAGAGCAGCTACTCAGAAGCTAGCAGTGCCTATTAGAGGGCTCTGATAAGGCTCTTTAAGGGATGTTGCTTTCTGAGGCATGCGTGGCTAAAGTAGATAAATTGTGAGGGTTTCTGAAGGGTCTCTCCCACCTGTAGAGGACAGAAAGCATCCCTAGCTCCACATTGGCCTTTTGAAATGGAAATCCTGCTTCTCAGCGTACCTGCTTGCCCTTCTCAGGGTACCTACCTGTGAATAAACCCCAAGATGCTTGTATCATATGCCAGAAAACCTAATTATTGAAAAATATTTAATGACAACACCATTTTGCTAGATGAAAAGTGAGAGTTGCCACTTGAGAAGGCCACTGTAGCAGATTTTGAAGATTTCTGCCTTAGTCCAGGTTTTCTGGCTGTAAGAGGCCTGATGTGAACCACTGTGCAGCGCTCTGACCAGACTGCATTGCATGGAAAAAATTGCCACCGTACGTGTGCCACATAGTAATGAGACACACTCCAAAAATCTGAAGTGTGCAAGAAGTCAGCCTGTTGCCCTCAGGCACTAATTTCCCAGCATAAGCACAGGCCATTAGGCCGATACAGCCTGGTAGCTCTGGGCTGTGTGAGTCACGAATACTTCAGTCCAGGAAATGAGGTAGCTCTTGCCCAGAGCTTTCCTGCTGTGCTGTTTGAATCCAGAGGGCAGACATCTCCCTTTTCCCTTTACCAGTCTTGCATCTTGGTAGCTGTGCTAATTTATCCTGAAACAGAGGAGAGCCAGCTCAACTCTGGATGACTAGTTGGTGAGGTCAATTGCTGTTATAAGAATATATGTGAATTATGTCTTAGCTAACCAGTTCCAGGAATCTCAATTAATTTAGGAGCCATTGTGGGTGTGAGCAATGAGATCTTGTGCAACTGTTTATCAGCCAGTGCTTCAGTTTCCCTTTAATAAGCATCATGCAGGCTGTCATTTGAGTATTCCTCATCTGTGGCTAAGCCAATCAATAGGAAGGATGTAGAGATACCAGGCATAAACAAAAAATCTGCCCTTGACCCTTCCAGAATCCCAGTTTTATACTTTTTTTTTTTTTCTCTTTCATAGAAACCTTTTTGCCCTCTGGGCGCTCCTCCCTGTTCTGAGCTGGAGCTGGACCTGGGTTACAGCCCACACAAGACCGGAGCATATGGCTCTGTGTGTGGGAAGACATCTCCATCTCGTGGTCAGGTTGTGCTGAGCACAGCTGACAGCGAGGAAGGAAAACGGCTCTTTAGGGCTGTTAGAGTCTTGAGGCAGGAGCACGCTGTAGCTCGCACCAGCACAGTTGGTGTGGGGGGTCCTGTGCTGCTTTCTGCTGTGAGCAAGCTGTTCCTTAGCAAAGGCACAGGACCGCGTGGGGTAGCCAGGGCAGGTTTGGATGTGCTTCATGCTCTGCTTGTCTCCGCTTTTGTCAGGGCTGTGAGGGAGCTGGAGGCCCAGCTGGAATACGAACGAGTCAGGCGGGAGAAGCTGGAGAGCCAGCTGGATGACTACCGTGCTGAGATAAACCGCCTTAGGGAGAGCCTGGAGAAATCCTGCATCCCCCCTCCTCTCCCCCCGGTGAGTGCCACACAAACACCCCCGATGTGTGGGACAGAGGCTACTGCCTGTTGCTTGCGCATGTTTGTTCTCTCTAAGATACCCAGGCATGGTGCTAGGAAATACTGGAGTAAATGTGTTAGCTTTTAGCTTGGGACACTGAAGGGAGCAGTAGCTTTTGCTGCATCCTGACAGAGGCTCTGCTGTGAAAGGGTATCAGTTTCTCTTTGTACCCTGGCAGAGAAGAGCTGATTTTCTTCATATTAACAAGGGGAGTGGACTGATCCCTGAGTACTTCCACTCTGCATATGCCGTGACTGACAGTTCATCTTGGCTGGTACCTGATATCTGAGGCTGGACTGGTGCTTCGGGAGAGGCATTGTCACCACCCAAAGGGTCACCCGGCCTGCGGATGCGTAGAGATTGCAACTGTGGGTTTGTAGGATTCTGTAATCCATGAGGACACACAGGCTTATATCCTCTAAATTTCTCTATTACAGATTACCGCAAATACCACAAAAATCACCACCAGCAAGTATACTACCACAAAATCACCACCAGTAAGTATACCTATGATTAATAAAGCAAATAAAAAAAAATAGATATCAAGCTATTACAGCATACTGTTAGCAATCAATAATACAGTATCAGTCAATAGTATGGTAGCAATCAGTGGTAAAGCAACAATCCATAGTACAGCAGTAACCATGTAGGGATATATTATTACAGTTTATTACAAACTTACCATTAGTGAAGCAAACTTACGAACAATATAACAACTGATGTACTTAAGATTGATTACATGTAAGGATATATAATATTGATGTGAAGTGAATTAGATTTCAGAAGGGGACAAAGCATCCTGGAGGGGAGGACAAAGTAATCCCAGAGGGGGACCCAACCATCCCCAAAAGAGGAGAGGACAAACTGAATCCCAAATGTGGGCCCGGAAGGGGACCAAGAAAATAACAGGATCTCACTTCAAAGATGGTCTGTGTCACAGAGTCTGGAGTCAGCCAGGTGTCATGAGTGAGAGTCCAAGATCTCATAGAAAGCTCATGTGGAGAATTCATCTTGTTTAGGGGAGGAAAGGCATATGCAGCATGGAAAGTTTTTAGAGGGAGAGGCCCAATTTTGGATTAAAAATTATGCCCTTTTTATATTATCGAAACGTAAGAGGGTGGAGGGTACCACCACTGCAAACATCCAATAGATACTGACATTTCTATCTCTAATTTTCTACTTTTCACCTGTATCAGCCAATAGATGATGAAGTTTCTATTCTCTCAGACCATTTTTTATTTTTCCAGACTATTTCCACCTTTTCAGACAATAAATTGCCTTTACAGTCTTTTGTGCTTATTGGTGGTATCTCAGGATGCCTCTAATTTCTAGGCACCACAGCTGTACTTCAAAGGGGCTGGCTGCACTTTTCAAGGATGTTTCTGGTTCCCAGCCTCTCAGTTTCCAGGCTGGCAGACATTTTCTGTGTCAGTAGTTTTCAGCAGGCTGTTTCTTCCATTCAGTAGTTTTCCCTTCTAACCAGGCCACCTTTCTGGCTGCTCACATCAGCTGTCAACCTGATGTGTCAATCCCTCACCCCCAGCTGACATGGTTTGTAGCAATCACAGCATACCTTGTAGGTTATTTCTTTTGTTTTAAAACTTTCCTTCAGAACTCTTCTGTTTTCCTCCCTTTTACACCAGACTGGGAAGTGAGTTGGTGGAGAACTGTAATACAGTACTGTGTTGCTGTGTGCAGTGCCTGATTTCAGTGACTGTTCTTGTCTGTCATATGCTGTCGGTCATCTTCACTATCGAGCTTGCTGACAGCAAAGAAGATGCAGATATGAACTATTGATTAACTTAGCGGGCAAAGACAGAAAATCTAGCTTTTAAAAAAAATAAAATCTTGAGGATAGATCAGAAATCCACATGCTAATTTTGCAGACAGGAGAGCTGGTGTTTCACATCTTTCCCTGCCATATAACTCCCCCAAACTGATGTGACAGTCACGTCCCCATTTTTCAGATCTTTGCCATCCAGTCAGTCGGCAGCCTTGAGTGAGGCACCTGAATTCCTCCTGCTATGAGTTGTGGGAACTGGTGTGTAGTGACACTGCTGGTTCTTCCGAGGGTGCAGCCAGCGGACAAGGCTGATGGCCCTGCCTGCCTGGGCTGCTCATTGCTGTTCTTGAAGCTTCGCTTAACTGCCTTGACCGCTGCACTGCATTGGCTGTGCAACTGGTTGTAGGGCCCTGCTATAACCAGTATAAAAGTCAGTGAGGCTTCTAGTCACTGACAATGTGGGCTACTTGGGTTTAACTCCTTCCTCTGCTGAGAGGAGCTGAGAATACCCATTTTCTTGGGGGGGTTGTGTTCTAACCAGCACGATGTCTGCTTTTCTGAGACAGAGCCATATCCCTGCTGGCAGCTGTGCAGAGTGACCACTGTATTTCAATTTTCACTGATTTAGAGGGAGTGAGTGAGAGAAAACAGCTTATAAGCTGATTATTAGGGCAGTCATGCAGGAGGGGGGGAGCTGGCCTGTGCTTCACATTATTTACATTTTTCTTGGAGGAGAAATTGGGTTGCTGGATAAAAGGGATAACCTTGCCACCTTCTTCAGCCAGGTTTGAAGGAAGCCCAGGTGCTTGTAGTGTCCCTACTAGATAATAGCCCTTTTCTGAGTGTATGGGGAAGAATGCTTGATGGATGCTCTGAGCAGGAAACAAGCATTTAGAGCTCAATTTTGTTACCATTTAAGCTGTGTGTGGATTTGGCCACTGAAACATCTAGGGTGTTTCAGGCCCCTTGAGAGCGGAGGCGGTGCCGCTCCTGGGCAGCTGGAGCTGTGGACTGTGCTGTGCTGCACATCACTGGAGAAAGGCAGAGGAATTTCCATCCCAAGCATTTTAGCCCTCCAGTTGCCCTTGTCAGATCCCAGGCGACCGTGGCACGGCCGCGTGTGCAGCGTTCCCCGGGTGGCCTTCACTTGCTGCAGCTCAGCGCAGCGAGGCCCTCGGGTCGCTGTGGTGCCTGTGGCACACGTGTGTGTGTGCACTGGCTTCACAGTGCACGTTCAAACACGCCTGTGTGTCTGGCACAACTACGTTGCACAGTTCTTTCCACCTCTCTCTACCTCCCTTCCCTGCTTTCCTCCTCCTGCCCCCCCTTGCAGGGTTGTTTCCAGGCCTTTCCTGCCCCTGTGCCTTTTTCCCCTTTCCTTTAGCCTGGGCCAGCTTTCCCTGCCACCACATAGGTGCCATGATGCTCCTACAGCTGTTTGTTTCCACCTGTATCCTTGAGACCAACCTTTTCCATGCTGCTGAGCCCCCAGGCCTGCCAGGTGCTGCCACCTTTGAAAGAAAAGCCACGTTCTGCTTCCACAGCTCACTTTAAGACATCACCCATTCTACTCCCCTGGCAGGTTTAAAAATCTAGGACAACTGTGGCACAGTGTCCCATTTCTAGGGTGGAAGAATGGCTGTAGTCAGTTTTTTTACCAGCAGCAGTCTGAAACAGTCCAGTTGGGCATTAGGGTAACTAGCTGGGACTGGAGACAACTCCTACCAAGGCAGGTTTGTTTTGAAAAAACTTCTGCTCTGAGTGCTACAACCAAGGGGCCTTCGGATTGTCCCCTGCTGTGACTGTTCCACACCCTGGGACTACCCTCTGCACTCAGCTTCTGTTTGAACACAGTATTCTGTGGTTACTCAAAGCCACAAATACTGTCTTATGAGGTAGAAGGTTTAAGTGATTGCTATTCAATGGCTGCAATGTCCTCTGTTTCAGGAAGTGGAGACCATCTTCGAGTCTTGCAAAGAAAAAAAGAAAGTAAAGAAGAAACTGGCATGCAGCCCTGGAGGAGTGTTTGTGAGACGGCGCTGAGGAGTGAACCTCTGACGAGGGGCAGGCAGACTAAGAAGGTAGAACGACAATATTCTACATAATGCAAAGGGTTCACATAGCCCAGCTCCACAGATGAGTTCTGATTCTCTGCATTTCACTGAACTACTTTTTTAATTCTCTGGGATAGAAAATATTTTTAAATCACAGCAGCACCCTCTTTTATTACCAAAAAAAAAAAAAAAAGCAGCAGCATAAAGACTTTTTTTCTGTCCAGGTTGTAGTTTAGCAACAGCTTTGTAAATTGTAGGGTGACATTTCAAGAGCTAACTGCAGCAACGTCATTGGCCCTGTGAGGTCTGAGAAAAGTATCCCCATCTACTAGTCTATTCTTAGGAGGAAAAAAAAAAGAGCACTTCCTAAAATAATCAGATAGTACTGCAGACAGGACAGCTGCAGACAGGTGCCAGGTCCCTTGATTTTCATCTTTAAGTCATTCCTAAGCCAGGAAGCGATGCCTTCATGAGGTGCCAGATGAAGGGCAGCGCTGGGCTGCCTCAAGGCTGGGGAGTTCACTAGGCTACAGGGCATGGTGTGGTAGTGCTGACCTCTGCCCCACGCCCTAAAAACATTGCATGACTTCACATATAAAGGTTTTTCACTCATCTGTGTGCTACTGTGAAATTCCTTTTTCTTTGGAACCCTCGCCATGCATATTTTGAGTTTTGATTTCAGCAAGAAATCCTTGCACTGCAAGGTTAATTTGCTACTGCTTGATGCTGATCTGCCCTCTCCTTAGTTACCAAAGGAAACTTAATCTATAAGAATTTCAAAGGTACTAGAAAAAAAAAATGTTTTTGTGTGCACAACCAATTGTGAGGGAAAGGCACGCTGAGCAACAGCATAAGCCTTATGCAAGAGCTAAGGAGGAGAAATCTGGTCTCTAGAGCCCACTTCAGTGTGCAGGGGAGGGTGGTGGTGAGAAGCTGCAGTGGATGACCTCTTTCCCACATCACTTGGTGCTAAATGCTCATGTAGGAAACATGCAAAATATCAACTCGGGTCATTCCCTGTCCAGAGAAGACCAATGAAGCTGATGAAAAGGTCCAGGTCACAAGTCTTACAAGGAACAGCTGAGGGAACTGGGGTTGTTTAACCTGGAGAAAAGGAGGCTGAGGGGCAACTGTATCACTTGCTACTGCTACTTGAAAAGAGGTTGTAGGGAGGAGGGGGTCAGTCTTCTCATCCAGGTAACAAGCGAGATGACAAGAGGAAATGGCCTCAAGTTGTGCCAGGGGAGGTTTAGATTTGATATGAGGGAAAATTGCTTCCCCAAAGGGGTTGTCAAGCACTGGAACAGGGTGCCAAGGGCAGCAGTTGAGTCACCATCCCTGGAGGTATTTAAAAGATGCAGAGATGTGGTGCTTAGGATCTGGCAGCATCAGGTTAACAGTTGGATTTTATGATCTTAAGGGTCTTTTCCAACATAAATGATTTGGTGATTCAGAGAACCTCAGAACTGGTTATAGTTTACAAGAAGATGGATTTGTGCATGTAACAGTTACAACAGAATCTGCCACCTGCAGAGATCATTGCTGCTCACAGCCAGGCAGAGACAACAGGAAAAGCAGCCTCACCTCCCTGTATAATGGCACTGTGCCTAGTTACAGTCTGGTAATCTGTATTCAAGTCTCTCTCATAGCAAATATAAGAAATTATTTCCCATTTCTTAAATGACGATAAATGATTTAATGCAGAGTATAAGAATTGGTTGGATACCAGCAAGTTCAGCTGTAAATAGAATAAAACTGCAATAAAATTACTATTCATCAGTACTACATACTCTTCAGCCCACAAAGGGCCCACTTAAAAGTTTAATCCAACAAGATTTTTTTAAAAAAATATTTTATTAAAAGAATCAAACCAAGTATTTGTACTCAATAAGGTGTAGCTGCTTCAGTTTTGGAAGGCGGCCAGTTGGTATGTCCCATCTCTGCAAGAGGAGTTGCAAAGTCCTTGCAGAAGGTAGAAGTGAGGAGTGTCAGCGTGTCCCACAGGGTTACAGAACAGTCTAGGGGAGTGTGGAGATGGGAGGAGGATGACCACCACCACCCTGGCACCACTGCCATGCTGAGTATTTCCATGTTACAAGCCAGATCCTATGCCCAGAAAATAAGGGTTTACTGGAAATACCCTGCCCTACTTGAAGGGAGGAGTTAGGAGCACTTATCTGCCCCAGGGCTGCACACAGTTCCTGAGAGAGGAGGCATTTCTCCTTGGGAAGACAGAGATGTTCTCCCATTCTCTTGACCTCTGGGGTTACAAAAATTGCAAAAGATACTTAAAAAAGAAAAGAAAAAATAACCTATGGAGACATTTTAGTTCTACATGAGATTTTCAAATTTATGTAAACCAGTTTTCAGGAAAACCAAGGATTCTTTAATAAAGGCCTATGAGTGTGTGCTTATATATAAATAAAAAAAACGCAAAGGGGCAGGCTTCAATCAGTCAGAAAAGAGGGGAACAGACTGAATGCAAAAGTACAGATCCTATATTTAAGATTAATTTACTTGGATCAGAGTAGATCTGTTGGAATTTGGCATTAGTATTCTCACATTGGGAACACTAACTTGGGAATAGCATTCCCATTTCAAGGGCCTGTTAAATGTTTAATATTTCCAGTTCAGGAGGAGCTGAGTGTGAGAATGTTCCAAACAGGAAACAAAATTAATTCTGAAACACATTAGGAAACAGTTTCTGATTTAGTGTAAGAAGCCCTTTGAAATAAATAGTCTTCAATAGGGGACAATGAAATATTGTTATTTGCCTAATCCACCCGCCCAGTTATTTTGATCTTTAGTGTTACATATCAGAAAACACTTCTAGTGCACAGTAAGAATATCAAAACCAAAAAGGTACCAAGGTTATCTACAGTGCAAACATGATCATCGAACTGATGTTGCCTGGGTGGCCTTTTCTCATCCTGTATTTGATGCAGTCATTCCATTTGGATCTATTTCCAGAACCTGTAAAATCCCAGCGCTATTGCTAAGCAAGTGAACACTGAGGCTGTTAAAAAGAAAAAGAAATGAATTAGCTAAATACTAAATTGTATCACCTTCTACATACAGGAAATTAACTGCAAACAGATAGAAGAATGAGACAGTAATTTTAAAAGACAATGACCTTTTACACAATAGTTTTAAAAGACAATGTCAAATGCAGGAGCCCAAGGAACTATGTTTTCAGGGACACATCCGCATAACTATGCTGGATAATCCAGAGCACAAGAGGCTGCAGTAACTCTTAACTACTGTCACCCAGCTACTGGAAATTGTATTACAGGAGAGATGGCTGTCTTGCATTAGACACAATTAAAATGATTTCCCACTGAAGAAAATGACAGTGAACTAACAAGACACAGAGCTGACAAAACATTAAGATATCCAGGCAGCACCTCTGAAGCTGGCTAAGCTGTCTTTCAGATTTGTTAAGCTGCTGTTTCAATTAATGTTGGAATAAAGCTAATTATGTTTTCCTCTGAACTTGTTCTCACTTCCAATTGTAATGCATTACTCTCTTTTTATCCAGCTCCAACACAGTAAGAAATTCACTAGTTAAGCATATATTGAGAAGACAATCTCAAATCAGACTGAGATTTGTTCTGCTTGGCAGGGGAGAGTCCCAGTACTGCCACACTGGCACTGTGTCTGTGGAGGACTGAATGGGAGGCAGAACTGGTCACTCTCAGACTAGTCCTGAATATCAACAAAATTTCAGGGTAACTTAAATAAGCAGCTGCCCTGCAGCAAGCAGAGGTACTGTCAGACCAGACAAGGTATTTAGGCTTATTTCCTTCTTTCTTTAAAAAAAAAAACAACCACATTAAAACAACATGTCCATGTTGTGGGTGCAGTCCCAGTCCAACCACAGCTGTGTTGCGTATTCCCACCTCTTCTGTGTCCTCTGTCACGTTTCCTTCAGCTGGGGAGGGTCCTGCCCCCCCAATCCCAGTTGTCTGCTGTTACACAACTGACTTCTTGAATTCACTTTGCATACATTCCTGAATAAAATGTTACACAACCAAAATACAATACTGGTACTCACCTTCTTGCCTATCACATACCTGCCAAATAACGTATTGTATCGAGTTTATTTGATTCCATGAGTGTTTTTAAGGAAGCTATTTCAGTGTCAATTTTATTACTGATTTCTGAGATAACACTGTTGGTACTTGTATCCTGAAACATTAAAAGACAGCATCATTTGATAATGAGCTCCAGCCATTTCAACTTTGCAAAGCCAAACATGAATACCATGCTATGAGCAACAAGAGAAACAAATTTCCAACCTATCACTGAAATAAAATATATAACTGGAAGAGAACTTAGAAGACACAGAACAGCATTTAATACAATTCAGGAAGAATACTAAAGAGAGAGAAAGAGAGAAAGAGGAAAAAACTCAGATCATACAGAGTTTTGACATGCCAGTGCCTCCTAAAGGAGGCATTCTACAGCACAGATAGTACCCCTAAATTTTTGCAAAACAAAGGTGTAAGCATCCACAACCCATGTCCAGAAAAGGGAAGAGACGCTGAAGATGGGATGTGTCCAACCTCAGCTTCTTAAGTCTTCAGTGCCTGCTAGCAGCTTGGAGGCCTTCCAGCCCTTACACACCTACCTGGCTGCAGGCACCCAAACCACCCCCCGGTACAGCCTGTCCCACCTACCACAGCCTTCACAGACGACACTGGGGAAGCGAGAGACAAGGCTTGTGTGCTGCTTCTGCCTGAGCTGTGTTCAGTGCAAATCTCACAGGTCTAAATATATGAAACAGACGTGACCGAGACTGCCGAGCCTTTTGCTTTACCATATTCACAAGTCTACTAACTTTCACAGAAGTTTGGGGTTTACATAACATGCAACACGCAACTGTATCCTGTTCAATATAAAAAGAGCTTTGTTCAATACCTACTTTTTTATGAAACTCTGTAGTTGCTTCCATCAGTTTCCTCTCCTGATCTGTAAACTGTGGATAAAAGATAAATGACAACTGTAGCAACACAGAAGAAGACACAGAACTGATAAGGGTATCTTCAGAGACCAGCTTACCATATCTGTCACTCTGCTCCTTTCCAGGTTTATGTCTAGCTTGCTGTCAGCTCGGATTTTACCCGTTTCATTCTTTAAAGCAAATAAAGATTATAAATATAACTATTTACTTTCCCTAATAGAAGTGTGTAGGTACTTGCTGTTTGCTTACCATTAGCTGCTGTTTAACTTGATCTAATTCAATTTTCATTTTCTAGGTGCAGAAGAGGAAAATAAAAAATGGTTTTACAAATTCAGAAAACTGCTGACCAAATTAATCAGTCATGTAAGTGTTACCACGCATGTATGCAATTACTCCTCTATAATTTCTCTCCCAACAGACCAACTTGTTCTTGATTAAATATCCTAACTAGTGTGTTCGATCTGTATAGCCACATATAATCTGCTGAGAACCTTCCTCAGAATAAAGGAATTATTTTGTAGCTATGATGATCATGTTATTCTAAGACTAAAGACAATAGAAAAATACCAAAATGCTCTCAAGAAAAAGTGAATCATGTCTCAAACACCAGTTTAATGAAATTGTTGCAAAGAAATGGCTGGCTGCTCTCCCTGGTTAATGGTGATGGGACTGTACCAGAATCACCCTTAAATAAAATTACAGAAGATGATTCAAAGATGTGTAGATTTTTTTTTTCTTCACAGAACTGAGCAAGTCTTATCACATGAAATATATTTATGTGATCACAGTAGTTGTAATATGCAAACACTTCAACTCCGATAAAAGTATCCACAGTTACTTTTACATTCATATTTTGTTCCACAGGTATAACAACATATATTACAATTTAATTGCTTCATTAAAAATATTTATTATTACCTCATTTTCTGCTCTCAAGTTTGCAAATTCACTTTTCTCCAGGATGACCATGTCTTTTCGAATGGAGTCCAAATGTGCCATTATCTGCTGTAAAGTTATTTCCTTAGAAACAATAAAACATGTCAGTAATTAAGTTGTACGCTTTCTGGGAAGTAAAGGAAAGTGAAGATTTTTAGGTCTGAAATGATGAAATTACCTACTGCAAAGCACAAAAACGCGGAAACTCTTCAACAAGTGAGTGACAAACAGAATTTTATAGCTGCAATTTGTTTGAAAGACTCAAGAGGTTTTGGTTTTGTACTTTTTCCGTTGCTATAATACACTAACTGTGAATTTAAGCAAAAAAGCCAGAGGTATTAGTCCAAGTAGCTATGAAATGAAATAACTACAGCTTAGTCCTTCATTCTCTTCCATTATCAATGAGTGCTCAGTAGTCTATGAAGCACTAACTATTGGTTTGAATCCAGTTCTTAAGTAAGCACTTCCATTTCTTGCCCACAAAGTCATCAAAGGCCAAAGATTTAATGATTCAAGTACCACATTGTCCTCTCAGCATTAAAGTCTGACAGAGACTAGTAAAACATTGCTAAAAAGCACTGAAAAAAGCCTTCCTGATGTTTGGGCTAACAAGTTCAGAATTCAACTGCTACTTATAAACTACATATAAAAAAAAAAAAACAAACAGAAAAGAAAGGATGAAACTTTCTATTTTAGAATCTTGAAAGCAATACTCCTTTAGTTAGCGTATGGAAGTTACCCATCTATTTAGCACAGAAAATGACATATCTCTGTGGGATTCTGCTTTTAAATCTGAGAACCAGCAGAATGAAGATCTCTCATTCAGACTACAAGCAAACAGGATTTCTCAGATCCTTTGTTGAACTACATTCATTAAAATATGCCCTGACCAACTTCCACAGAAATCTGACTACTTTGTTGAACACAATGAAGTTTTAAGAATTCCTGGGAGAACTTCAATTGCATTCATGCTGAGGAGCTAACCTGCCTCATCCCATTTTAAAACAGTCAGCCTCAACACTGACTACACTACAAAAGCCAGTGTTTCTGCTTAACACAATTCCATGCGAATTATATGCGAGATGCTGTCTTTCTTTACACATAATAGGATTTCCGAAAAGCAGGGTTTCCATTTTGATGAAAGAGACACAAGTTCTTGTGATCTTCTGAGATTTATAGAAAAGGAAGTTATATAACCTTTATTAAGAATAAATGCCATTAAGATAAAAATCTGTTGGAAGTAAGGCTCAGCAGTTTAAATAAAACTGCAATGAATGCTTAATCGCATTAACTCATTGAAGAATGACACGTAATTTCCGCCTGCAGAGCCTTCTTGAGTAATTATTAAAACCGCCCCTGTGTATCAGAGCTTTATTATCCTGGCCCAGATGTCTAGCCTACAAGAAAAACAAAAGTTCTTTTTATTTTGGCAATTTATTAAAATGAAACTTGTCACCGACCTCTAAGAGAAAAAACAGCCATGCTCCTTAACTGATTCCCTGCCTCCAGGTATGTCCACAAACACGAGCAGCTAAGCGAAGGAGCCACTGCGACACTTTGCCAGAGTGCAGGCTGAGGTGTTGACCTGACCAGCACAAACAGCCAGGTTTATACCAACAATTAAATAATTCAGAGCTCATGTGCTGCCCCTGAGGGCACATGACACACCACAGATTACATCCAGATGGCTAAAATCTCCTCCTCTTCAATCAAGGTGGCTCTGCCCACCCTGTCTGGTAGGAGCAGTGCCTGGCCCTGTATTTTCACATAAATTGTGGCCAGGTCAGGGAGACAGAGTTGGCACAGGTCAAAATCAAGCCAAGGTGCTGCAGGAACTGCTGAACACTCTGGACGACCACAAAGTGGTGTCTGAGCCCACACCCAAGCCATGTTTAGCTTTTACTATAGATGTAGCTTTAGAGACTGAAATGCAGAGTAAAATCATTAAATAATTTTAACAGTAGTTTGTAGTTTAAAAATAGGAAAATAGGACATATACAGTGTTTCTCAGAACAGAGTTGACATTATTACTAAAGTTCGGTAAAGAAACTGACAATTTTCTGATATTTTAGGTGGTCTTGATATCTCTCAGAAACCCCTCCCTGGATCTCTCTTCTGCTCTCAACCGTTGTAATGCACAGTTAAAAGTCTGGTTTCACCTCAGAGGTTTTCAGCAGCAAATGAAGCAATCTCTGCATTACATTTATATATTGTGGCTGCATTTGGAAAACACTCCTGTGAAATGAAAGGTCTAACATATTACTATTCTTAATACCACCTTGAAACTTAGGAAAACCTGTCTCAGTGAAGCATTTACAGTGCTACAGAGTTGCTTGCTTGTCTTAAATATGCAAACATAAGCCATTAGTTACACAATGCTGTATACATACACCAGAGCTTACTCGTTACCTGCTGAGCCTGTGTAACCATATCCTTATAGACTGTGTCTAAGCTGACATTCGACAGGGTTATTAATGCTGATACGATGGTCTCTGCTTGTTCCTTCCCAAAGCCTAGAAGACAGTTGGAGGATGACATGTTAAAGTAATATTAGAAAGCTGGATGAAAAGCAAGAGGTACATAATAAACTGGGACACTCAAGTGCTGGACCTAACTACAGTGGCAAATGGGAAGCCACACAGTTACTGAAAACGGACAGCGAGGAACCAGTCACTCTGATTTTAACCAGAAAAAACCCCAGACTTAATGCTGCAAAAATCTGAAGCACATTAACTTTTAATATACCTAAACAGTCTATGCATGTAGCTTTAACTGTACATGCATTATAAAAATAATTAATCAAAATTTTACTTGGTAATGAATGTTCACAAATTCTGTTAAAACCGAGCTTTCCTTGAGCTACAAAGCATGCACCCTATACAATAATAAAATTAAAAGTTAAGTCTGCATATATTGGAATTGTTGTGCACAGATATGAACGCATACAGAACTGACTTTAAAACTGCTGCATGCATTGCCTGTAAAATGAATTCAAACTGGGATTTTTGATCTCTGATGATAAAAATTGGACTTTCTTGATAGCTGGGTACAATTCTGAATTGTTAAAGATGATGTGTGATGAATAGTGGAAAAAAACCCCAGCTGTCAAATTAGCCCTGTCTGATCTAGTGCTGAGAGCTTTGGCCCTAAGGGTTTATTTCCGCAAGTCTCACTGATATGTTGTATTTCAATTGACCTATTTTATAAAGAGGGATCAATTACCCCTTTGATGAAAAATGCTTTCAGGGCAAATTACACAGAGAAATATGCCACCGCTCCCTTCTAAAATACTGGTACTGTCAAGGTGCACCATTGGTTTACATTACTGAAAAAGCTATGCACACTTTATCACAGTTTCCTTCCACTAAGAGGTGTGATAGTATTACTCCAGTTTCTCTGAATCTTCAGGGTTACTAAGATTTTTGCCAATTCATTATTTTGTTCTTCCTCTGTAGGAGGAACTGTCCTTGTTGCATGGAAGTTTAGAAAATGTGGAGAAATTAATATAAGCAAGAGGATGGTGTCTGAAAACTGCCTGCAGCAAGTCTGGGGAAAAAATAAATGCCTCTCCTGTGGTATGGATAGATTTCACCTATAGAGCCCTGTCACTGTAGTACTGAAGTATTTGTAGAAGTTACAGAACAAATTACACTGAATATCAACACAGTGTACCAGCACCAGACAGACCTCACCCCATGAGCTCTAAAGGAACTCGAAGAAGAAACAGCTGAATTAGTACCAGGGACAAGTAACATGTCACAAACTACCTCTGTTACCCAAGGACTGGAAAATGGCAAACAGTGCCAGATTTTAAAAACAGTTCCAGAAGAGATGTAGGAAACTACAGGCTGACAAGTCTGACATGCATGAAAAAAATAAACATTGTTAGTGGACTATTAAGAGTCTTCTAACTACTAATACATATTATCATTAGACCCAGATAGTGGAAAAAAACCTGACCTCAGATTGGATGAAGTTCTGTCACTTAGGAGACAGATCTTGGGATTTTAAAAGGTAGTTGCTAGTCTGATGAAGATATCAGCTCAATGCTTATCAGGGATCAATAAAGTAAACCAAACCCTTAGGAACCACTAAGCAAAGGAGCAGAGAACAAAACAGATGCAACGTTATGTCATTGTTCAAATCCACAGGACATTGAGTTGTCAAATAATGTAGCAGCTCTGATCCCTCCCCTTTGAAACAGGATGCAATCGAAGTGGAAAAGATTCACAGAATGGAATCGTGAATGATTAAAAGTATGGAAAAGCTACTGCTCAAGGAAAAAATTAACAAGCTAGGATTCTTCTGTTTGGAAAAGAATTATGGGGGAATATGACAGAAATTTACATCATCATGAGTGACACGAGAGATCAAATGTTCATTTCCTCTTCCCACAGGAGAGCTGAGCGGGCATCAAATTGGCCTTGTAGAAGCCAGATTCTGTATAAATGAGTGGATATCTGAAACTCCACAAGAAAGGGTGATTTTGGGTACTAATCAGTTTACAGCGTTTCAGGGACTGAATAAACTTGTGAAAGTATTTCCACTGACAGTTACTAAAACTCACACCTGACCCAAAATATGTCCAGCATGAAAACATTTGGAGCCTTAGAAAGTACCAGAGGACATGTCATACATCTGCCCCATTTTAACACTCTCCTGCAGGCACTGACTCATGGCAGCTGTCAGGAGACAGAACCCCAGATGAACCTTTCACTTGACTTCTGCCACACTCACAAAAGTGCAGCTATTAAGAACGTATCACAGCCCTGTGCTGCTGCAAATATTTCTAGTCAGAAAAAAGACCCTTGTTACTAATAGTAGGTAAGTAGAAGGAACTTCTATTAAAGCTTAATTTTTGCTAGGAAACAGTTCTTTAATTGTTATTGTTACTTTACATTTGTTGACTGTATTATGTTCCTTGGTTGGAAGACACTACATAAACCTGCCTACACCTACGAATAAGGTAAATCTAATGTAACAGTTACTTGTATGGTACAGAGGCATCAAAAAGTGTCCGATGACCCTCCTTCAGCAGCCTCTTTGAGAGGCTCCCAAAACGTTTTATAACACCAAGTGTTAGTACTTTGGGAAAACTGAGAGCACTCAAAGTTATAGTACTTAAACTAAAAGTTTTCCTTTGAATTATTTATCAGATATCACTTACCATGGGCTTCCAGATCCTGCACTAAAGCATGGGTATCAAAAGTTACCTTCCTCTGCTCCAGGGGAGTGATTTCAACTCTTCTGACATCATATGACTTCCTAATGAATGTGGCAGCAAAACCTGGAAGTGACAACACATGTCTTAAACTTAACCTGATTGGTTCACCAAGCAATATGCTAATTTTAATTTATATCATCAGAGCAAAGCTGCATGGATATTGCAACAAAAAGCTGGGTCCTTTTGATCGCTTGGTTACAGCACACGCCAAATCATCAATCTCATTTTCACAGGAATCTATACCAGCTAGGACCCATATATCGATCTTAAGCGCATTTGTACAAGGGAACTGTGCAAAAAGACAAGCATCCCGATACAACAAAAATAAAACCACAACAACTGTTTTGTAATATTTGAGAAACATCACTTAAGTAATTTTCTTACTTTTAAAACTAGTTCTAACACTACCAATTTCTACTGGTTACAGCTAGCATCATTTATTTGTTTCTTCACAGAACCCCTCAATCATGTTCTTTTAACACTTTCTTCTATGACTATCCTTTCCAGCAAGGAGAGTGCCATGTGTGAAGACAGAGCTACAGACTTTTTTAAGAAAGCTATGCAAATCTAATGTTTAGAATAAATTTGTTGGTTCACCAGGAAAGTACTTGGGAAACTAAGCAATACGATGTTTGCACCTAATACCTTTGAGATGGGTTTTAGTTAAAGATCCACTCTATTTCATGAGTGCCTTCCCACAAGATGTTTCACTGCTTCTCCTACTTTATTTCAAGCATATTTCTCCCTTCATCTTAGCTTTGTGGGGCATTGCATGTTAGATTCTATTCAGATAGATTGTTATCTAAAATGCTCTGTTACTTCTAAATCTGTGCTTATCTGAAACCTTTTGTGCTGCTGGCTCTCTGCCTTAACCAAAATGTTGTTCTGTATATTATCGAGACCTTTACTCAAAGCTTCATATCATTTAAACAACAGGGAAGTTACACTGTGCCACTAGTAGGTAAATCGAGGTACATGCTACCTCCTGTCTACTCTGAAGAACTGGTTATAACCAAACCAGCCATGATACCCACATCAGTGTCTGCATTAGATTTAAGATGAAAAAGATGAAGGGAAGATTTAAGCACACGAACACATAATACTATGTACAAATAATTAAAAGTAACACTAAACGTTCTTTTTTTTTTTTTTCACTGAGCCTTAACATCTTTTAAACACACAGCTCTTCATCCTCTAAATGCCTTCACAGATTATTTAATTGCACTGAACAGCTATACCGCAGAGACATGCTCTCAGAACAGCTGATGTTACAGCAGGAAGCTCTTGGTCGCCTTGGCGGGCTGCTCCTTCCCCTCTCGCTCCGCTCCCGCAGCGAGGCGATGCCCGGTGCTCAGCCCACGGCTGCACACCTCGCCGCGGCTCCCACTCACCGCACCCGAGGCGCCATTTCGTGACACCGCCCCGCACCCCTCGGCCAACCCCCGCCGCTCCTCCCGCCCCCGACATTCTCTGTCGCTCCCTCCAAGCTCCGTGACCGGTCGCTCTTGCCGCCGTGACGCAGCCCTCGCCCCAGCCCCGAGGAGCCGTCCTGGGCTCCCTCCCACACCAACAACGCCCTGAGGCAACCCGCCCAGCCCGCCAAACGCCGAGCACCGGATCTCCGGCACCACTCACCCCTCCGAGGCCGGGGGAGCAGCGGGAGCGGGGCCGGAGGCAGGAGCGGGAACAAGCCCCACCTGCGGCCGCTGGCCCAAGCGCACCTCATCACTCCGCGAGCCGGCCGCTTCCGGCAGCTACCGCGCCAGCACTTCCGCTGGGGCCGCGCGGGGCATGCTGGGCACTGTAGTCCTCGGCCGCCCGGGTGCGGGAGGGTGGAGGGGCCCGGCTCAGGGGCGGTACCGCTGCGCCGCCATGCGGAGGGGAGGAGCCGTCGCGCATGCGCCTGCAGCTACCCCTGCCGGCGCGGCCGCGCTGCGGGCGCCATGTTTGTCGTGTGGGAGTGGCCGCGGGCCCTGCCCCGGCCTTGGTGACGGCGAGAGTTCTGAACCAACTGCCGAAATAGCTATTAAGCAGGTGTTCTTTATTCGATGTTTCGGAAGCATAGGGGGATCATTCCTCCTAATATGCGTACCACCGTAGTGGAGCTTATATTTATACACAATTCACTTACATATTCATGTGATTTCCAAGAACTAATTACAATATTCCTTACTTTTTCACTATAATATGTTGCCACCTATTTCCATATGTGCTGTACAGTCTTTAGGTGGCCGTCTAGGACCCGAGGTGGTCATTTACTTTATCATTCTCATCTTCGTTACAGTGTCCTTTCTGTGAATTTGGTTCTGTTGAAATACAGAAACCCACCCAACAGTTTGAGTCCGATGTAACTGTTAAGCAGGTATTCTTTATTCACGGCCCTGGGCAGCATGGGGGGTCCTTCACAAGCGCTCCAATGGACCAGAAAAACCACCGAGAATATATACTGGGAGATTATACATATTCAGTGAATTTCTTAGAACTAAACTACATATACATAAGATTTCCTAGAATTTATCTACATAGTTTGAGCATGCGTGATAAAATGAGTGTTAGGGTCTCTTCCCCTTCTGGTGACCATTCATAGTCCTCCTCACAGCGTCCGATGATTGAATTTTGGTCTTCCTTTGCCCGTATTTGGTCACATAGTTAGCTCATCTGTTTTTCGGCCCTGTGATGCTCCAAGAAGGTCAGTTTTTAATTAATTCCCAGGTACTCATCTTGACACCGGCATTTTAGGCCCCTGTTATGGGGAGTACTCAGGAAGCTTAACGAACCATCTCAAGGCCTACTTAAATTTTCTCATAGAAAAGTCGCACATTTCAAAACATCTTGTTACATTTTTAACTAAACTATGCGAGTGAAAGGAATAAAATAATAACACAAGTGGAACATGCTGACCAACTAGGATTCTACTGAAAACAAGTTCTCTGCTCTAAACAAGAGGAATAATTCTGGTCTTCTCTCACTGTCTTCCCCGTTCTCTTACAGCTGAGACCATACCACCAGTTGCATCTGGTAGTTCTGCAAGCTTCAGCGTCCTTCTTCCATTATCTTGTTTTTCATAGATAGGAGTGTACCTAAATCATGTAAGCAAACAGGCTCAAGGCTCAAGCCTGTTAATCATAGATGAAGTGTACCTTATTCCTTTGTTAGGCAGATTCCTAAGCAGAACTATGAACAAGATACTATTACATTAAGCAGTCCTGTAAACAGACCTTGCTGCTACTGACAATTTGTAATTTTCCATATGTCTTTCCTCTTCATTTATAAGCTCAAATTGCTGTCAGCAACTGGGCTGTTTCGGACCACAAGCATTTCTTGTACCTTGGCTAAGGTTTGGTGGTGCACATGAGGCTGATCTGTGGCAAATCAGTCTGGGCTGCTTGGGGTTTTAGGCCAATGACGGCAGCCAGCAGTCTGGTCTGTGCTACTACAGTGTGTGTAAAAGGTGTTGATGCTTGTTGAGAGCCAGGATGAACAGCCAGTGTTAAAACACCCACAGAGCACAGCGTGTAGTAAGAGAAGGCCAGAACTATTTCCTTTGTTTAGTGTAAAATAACTTGTTTATAGTAGAATCCTAGCTGGTCAGCATGTTCCACTTGCATTATTTTCTCAGTTCACTCGCATAGTTTAGTCAACTGCTGGGCGGAATTAATAACAAGATGTTTCAAAAAAGGCAGGTTCTCATCTGATAAAATTTAGGTGGACCTTGAATGGGTTCGTTAAGTTTCCTGAGTACCCCTGATAGCAGGATCCCGAGATGCCACTGTCAAGATAAGCACTTGGGAATTAGTTTGGAGCATCTCAGGGCAGAAGGACAGGAAGGATGAGGCAAAGGAACCCCAAATTTCAACCAGCAGACACTGTGAGGAAGACTATGAACGGCCACCAGAAGGGGAAGAGACTCTAACCCTCATTTTATCACACATACTTGGACTATGTAAATAAGTTCCAGGGAATCTTACGTATATGTAGATTAGTTCTTGGAAATCCACTGAGTATGTATAACATCGCAGCATATATTCTCTGTGATTTTACCAGTCTGCTGGAGCACTTGTGGTGGAATGATCACCAGTGCTGCCTAGTGCTGCTAATAAAGAATATCTGCTGAGTGAATTCCTGTGTTTCAGTAGGGTGAGGTAGGAAAAAGATCATCATGCTGTTCTTGCTTGGAGAATGTACAGAGAAGGGATGTCCAGAGAGAGGCTTGTGTCCGAGTGCTGATCCAAGGGCTCAGAGATACAGTGTGCTCTGATGCAGACCAGAAATGGAAAAACATCTTGCATGTTGTACTGCATATTAGAATAAAGGACACCTCACTTCACAGCATGTGCACCCTGGGGAGGTCTGTTGTAACATATCTGACTGAAACAACTTGTGCAGGTGCAGTGGCTGTATCTCTGCTACACTGTGGAGAAGCAGCTGGGCAGCCTTGGGGCCAGCTGAGTTGCCTTGTGTGTCTTGTCAGCCTGATGGAGTATCCTTGGGCTGTACTTGGGAATCCAGGAAGGTGTGCCCCGTGCTTTCAATATACCACAGAGAGCGCTTAAACCAAAGTTTGAGTAAGACAGATTTAATCTATCCAAGCACAGGGGAGCTTATCGAAGACCTTCCTTTTAAGAACCTGGATGTTGCTTGCCTTCAGGCCAGAATGATTTCTGGGCAGGCAGAGTCCAGAAAAAAAGCAGGCAGCCTGCAATAGGCCATACAGAATTCAGAGCAATTCAGGTCTGTATACGTGTGGGCATGGAACATCCATGCAAATAGCATGAAGACATAGCTTGGGCTGCAAAACTGCTGACCAAAAATGCAGTGTCTAGTGACATGAGGGCTGAGTGCTTGCTGTGTATGCACAATACAAAATCTTTGGGGAAAGAAAATAGCTCAGAATTTCTCTTACATATGGACTTTCATGCCAGTATACAGAGTTAGAATTAGATTTTTGATGGAGAAGGCTGTGCACGGTCTAAGGGGCCCTATTTTCTCCCAGTTCTGTTTGGATGATGTGAGCTGCTCCTGACTTAGCCTGATTTCCCCTTATTCCTGATGATAGCCTGATTATCCCCTAAGTCCTGAACTTACTCTAGACAACTTCCATAGGTGAACCTCTCTAAGCCTGACTTTGCCTATGTCCAAATATCCCTAACTTTAAATGCAAAACCAGCCCTGGCTCCAGTTCTGAAAGAGGAAACTGTAACTCTGGATCCTGGTGCTTTTGAACTCTGAAGCTTTCAAACTGCAACCTGTTTTCGTTTTATTCCCTATTAAAGCAAAATGCAGATTTCACAGCCCCAGAATGTTTTTGAAAAGTTGAATTCTTGCTTTTCAGTTTGTGCTAGTTACAACAAGATGCATTAGGCTCTATCAGACATCTGTTTCACTGCAGAAGTCCAGGGATGCTGAAGTTATGTCTTAAAATAAAAGTGCAAACCAAGAGAGAAGATTGCTAGTGGCACTTTTTAGAAAAAGTTCTAACGGAAATAGTAGAGTTTGAGAGCCATGATGTAATACATCTGTGAGTAAAAAATATGTATTTTTCAGCAGTTAACAGCAGCTGCAGGTTGTCTGAATTCAGCCCTCTGTGCTCTTCCAGAAGCCTGCTTCTCTTACAGCTAGTATGTTACAGTGCTAAGCACATAAAAATTCAGGCTTTCAGAGCAGAAAAAGTCTGCTTGGTAATAAAACCCCCTTGATTTCAGTTACTTGAAGGTCCCTTCTGCTGCCAGGTTTGCTTCAGTCTCCATTGAATCACTTGTCTCCATTCAGTAGAAGGGGCTCTTGCTTCAGTGGACTTGCTTACGTGGAACTTTGGTCCTGCCTTGTTTCCTTCCGTACCTAAGAACCAGTTGGGGGAATCTTAGTTAATTCAGAGGAATCTCCTCTTTCAGGGCATGACTTTCATTCAGAGGACTTCTAGGATGAGAACAAAGGTGGAAGGAAGATGTGTATGAGATATCTGGGGGAACAAGCACTGCTAGCAGTGACAGTTGTCTGAACCAGGGTGATGAAGGCAAGCAGCTGAGGAACTCACTGGAACGGCGCTCTCAGGAAAGCAAATGCCTAGTACCTGTGTTGAGGTGTAACTTCACAGTCCTGCCATGGTAACAGATGCAGGATTCGGCAGAAAGGCTCAAACAAGCCTAGCCTTATTTAAAGCACTGAGTTTCCAAGTCAACAACCCCTGTGTTGCCAAGATACAGACATTAGAAGAAACCCCCAACAATAGCAACAAAAAGCTGTCACTGAGGGAGAGGAGCCCCAGATCCGTGCCCTCTCTGCAGGGACATCATTGTTCAGCACTAACAATGCCACATGTAGGCTCAGGATGGCAATTGCTCCTTGAGCAGCACGCAGTTCTTTCCAACCACAAAGGCTTCCCTCACAGGACAGAAAGGCTGAGTGCCCCAGGGTGCTGATTTTCTACTTCAAACAGACAGTGAGCTGGCAAACTGGGTGTTTGGATGCTGTAATTTCTGTCAGCTGGTACCAGCAACTGAACTTTGTTCATCTTAGTAATTCAGAGAGCTGTTCTGGAGATAAGGGCGGCTGTCCCAGCTTGCCGTAGGAGGGCAGCAGCCTACAGCCAGACAGGGTCTAACGATGGGACTGTGTATTCTGATCGACTCACCCTTCTGTTCTGTTTTATTTGTTGTTGTTTATACAAATACAGTGGAGGGCAGCTATTCTTATGCTCTCAGCCAGCCATCCTGCAGCTTCTGCATGCATGCAGGTAACGCATCTCTATATTGTCTGTGCA